AGGACTCAAAAATAACTTAAAGAAGGTTTTAATAAGAAAAACAAAAACTCCATTAACACTAAATATATTAACAAACAAACAAGACCCAACCACCAACCCATCCCCCAGGGTAATGGGAGAGCTAGGTGCTGCTCCTTATATACTACACTCAGATGCTGACACACCTTAATCAAATACAACTCAGCAGCACCTGCTATGTTACACAGCTGTAAAGCTGGGTCTCGTTAGTTTGCTCTGGCCCTTGCTCTGGCCCCTTAAAGACATACACATGGAGTGGAACAATGATGAACCTTTACATTTAAAGAAACCATTCAACAGCCTTTCCCTCGATGGCTCCAGGCAGGAGGCCTCTGAGCACCAGCTTCTGGGGTTCCTGAGCAGGAGGGCAGCTGGCCTCAGAGAGAAATGGAAGAAAGAAACTCTGGCGCATGGAGATATCTGATTCAGGTGCAAAACAACGCAAATGGAATTCAGATCGTTCCTTTCAGATCCATCATGCGACAAGGGAGTTTATGGCTAGGTGAGTTTCTTGGGGGCGTCTCCTCCCTCCCAGCCTCCTCCTTCTCATGTCCCCCAGCCCAGTGTGGGGTGGAGATGCCTTGCCTGAGGGTTCAAATGCATAATTAACACCCCCTGCCCACCCACCCAGCTCACATCTAATAGATTTTCGGAAGTTATTAGCAAAGAAAACACACACATGTCGATCTCAGGAAGCTAGACTAATTACAGTATGAATTTTTTACTTCTTAATTCTTTGCCATTATTATTTACCCACCAGGTCCTGAAATATAATAAATTCCCCTTTACCTCCTCTAATAGATTTCTGTATTATCATATATATTAAATTCTCACTTACTTCATTCCCCCCTTCTTTTAAACATGATTGCTTTCCCCACGCTGACTGTACGTACTTCATTAAAAACATGTAATCTGGTAGTTGATGTCAAGCCATTGTTGGCTTAATTTTGATGGGGATTATAAGAAAGGGCTTGTTCTTCATCCTTTATTAGTGAACTCCCTGTGTCTTGGCTAACCTTTCAAGCGGCAGCTGGATTAGGAACGAGAGGAATCTTCTGGGCAGCTAATGGAAATGTTAGGGCAGAGACAGAAGGGGGGTGGGGCTGATTTGCAAAGGCTTCTTTCCAGAAGACACATGTGGTGCTCATCCTGTTTTTCAAATGCACAGGAGCACGCAAACACACACTAGACGCTGCACATGTTGTTTAGGTCCAGACTTAGGTCAAGGCAGCAAGGATAGACCCCCTTTAGCTAAACTCATTCAGTAAGACACAGATCCTGGCCAACATTGATGCCAAAATCCAGCATCGCCTGAGCTCTGCCAGTGCAACTTTCTCCCGATTGAAGTGTAGAGTGTTTGAGGACTAGGACATTCGCAAGGAAACCAAAATGCTTGTTTACAAAGCTATTGTACTACCAACCTTGCTGTATGCTTGTGAAACATGGACCACTTATAAACGCCATCTCCAACTCCTCGAAAGATTCCATCAACGGTGTCTCTGAAAAATTTTACACATCACTTGGGAAGACAGGCGAACTAATATCAGTGTACTGGAAGAAGCAAAGATCACCCGTGTCGAAGCAATGATTCTTCAACATCAACTTCATTGGACTGGTCATGTTGTGCGGATGTCCTGATGGTCGTCTTCCAAAGCAACTGCTCTATTCCGAACTTAAAAATGGAAAGCGTAATGCTGGTGGTCAACAAAAGAGGTTGAAAGACTCTCTCAAGGCAAATCTTAAAAAAATGTAGTATAAACACCAACAACTGGGAAACACTGGCCTGCGAGCGCTCCAGTTGGAGAACAGCCTTGACCAAAGGTGTCCTGGGCTTTGAAGACACTTGAACTCAGGACACAAGGGAGAAACGTGCTAAGAGGAAGGCATGCTTGGCAAATCCACACCATGATCAACTCCTGCCCGGACACCAATGTCCCCACTGCGGAAGGACGTGTGGGTCCAGAATTGGCCTCCACAGTCATCTACGGACTCATTGTTAAAACCGTGTTTATGGAAGACAAACTTACTCGGCTACGAGTGAAGAAGAAGAAGAAGAAGAAGAAGAAGAAGAAGAAGAAGAAGATGATGATCCTGGTCCAATTGCACTGGTTGCCAATTAGCTTCTGGGCCCAATTCAAAGTCCTTGTTTTCCCCTGGGGTGGATCTACCTTGGCAATCTCCTCCCCTCCATATCTGTCAATGTTTCCCTTTTTAAAAGGGAAATTCCCTTATTCTGAATAGGATTTCTCACAAGAAAAGGGAAAAGTTGACCGCCATGCCTCCCCTCCCCAGCTGAGCCTCCTGCCTGGTTGATGGTTTCCACTGATGGGCTCATGACTTCCTTCCAGCACCTTTTGTCATCCCCAGCGACACCTGTCTCAGGTGAGGCCCTGGACTGCCTTTCCCCACTGGCCAGGCCTCTTCCCTTCAATACTCCAAATATTATCTAAACTCTACCATTTATTCATTTCTAACATCCACTACCTCTAGCAGTTCTAGGGGCCCTTGACTCTGCAAACTCTGTCACTCCAATTCTGTAACTGTTTGAAGCATGCCCAAGCCCCGCATGACGCGCCAGACCTTATGGGCAGGAAGAGGGCAAGGCCACCTTGGGTAGGAAGAAAGGGAATCGGATCGGAGGAAAAGAAGTCTTGGTTTTTAAAATAAAATGCTTTGCGCGTCCGTGGCTAATCTCGCTCCTTTCTAAAATGTATTTATTGGGGTGTGTGTGTTTCTTTTTGCAAATCCATCAAATAATAAAATAAAATTGAAATTAAAGGGGTTTTCTGAGAATGATGGAGGGCGTCTGTGCTGTGTCCCATTCGGTGGCACTCACCCTTGCTCTGATAGGAAATGCTCTGCAAGGAGATGGACAAAAATGGGTGGGTTGAGGAGGGTCAGTTGCAGGGAGGGGGAGGGAGGGAGGAGGGAGGGAGGAAATATCCTTATTTTTATCTGAGGAATGTTGGAGGGTATATCTTTGGGCACCAGAGGTTTCACAGGAGCACTTCACCGCCGGAGCAGCTCCTCCCAGGATTTTCCCCACAGATCCTTGTAAAGAAAATACAAAACAAGCTAACTAACTAATGCTCCTTTCCAGTTTGTGAGCGTGCAATCATCTAATTATTCCAAGTAATCACATTACAATTTCTAGCATCCTCCACGGATTGTCCCAGAGCAGCTGGGCCAAATTAACAGCCCCCTGGGCTGGCTGACTGCAATCAGATTGGTTCCTGTTAGCTATTTAGGAAGCAAGTCCACATTGGAACGAGACGGATTACATTCAGGTTTATATATAACACACACACATAAACACACATACATACACCAGGGGGTCAGCTGGGCTTTATAGTGCCTTCCTTGCAGACTTGCAGGTTAGTGAAAGGTTGATTCACACATGCATCAGGACTAGCCGCCTGAGAAACAGTTTTTATCCAAATGCGATTTTGGTTTTCAATGCAGTGTAAGGTAGTCTCTGTGGGAGTATATTGTATTTAATTATGGGGTATCAGAATTCTTAGGGGGTTAACCAGGCTGGGATAGCTGGGGTAGCAGGCTTGTTAGTTTTTGAATGTCTGATGTAGATTTTTTTCAATTTCGTTGTTCTGTATGGGACAATGACAATAAAGATTATCGTATCATATCGTATCGTATCATATTCAATACTTTAGTGCAATCCCAGCTGGTATCTTATATTTGGGAACAAGTCATTTGCAGAGCCATCCTAACTTCCATTTCACCTTTTTTTAATTCTTGCATTTATGGCCCACCTTTTTTCCCTCCTCCAAACAGCTCAGGCGGTTCTCCCCCTCCTCACTTAATCCCCACAACAACCTGTGAGGTAGGCTAGGCGGAGAGAGAGAATCTGGCCCCAGCTCACACCCCATGAGCTCCATAGCCAAGTGGGGGATTCGAAGCCTTGACTCTCCCAGGTCCTCGTCTGCCACTCTAAGCACCACGCCACACCTGCCTCCAAACACAAACCTCCAACACAAATGTGTTTTTTAAGTTGAGCCCACTCCCACACCCAGCGGCAAGTGCCCAAACACTGAAGAACCGGGAGATATGCCTGCATGTGCGAAAGATCTGGAGCACAAGAAAGTTTTATTGTTGTTGTTTTTTCCAAAAAAAATTTCATAACACAAATAAACAACACAAACAGAAAAACAAACAATACAAACAAATGCTTGTCTTATCCTTATTTTTTCTAAACGTTGTTAGGTGGGCTTCCCCAAGTCCCCCCATCTGATTTTCATTTTACCTCATCTTTATCAGTTTACATATATCATAATTTCTAATCATTTTTTCATCACACTTACTTTTACCATGAAAATCTTCCCATTTTATCACTTACAAATAATACTATTTTAAAATACACTATCTTCTACTTCTAACCCTACAGCCTATATCCACTTCCAAAGCTATTCTAAGATTTAAATATTAACATATTTTTTCAAATATTCTTTAAACTTCTTCCAGTCTTCTTCCACCGTCTCTTCTCTCTGGTCTCGGAGGCTCCCAGTCAGTTCGGCAAGTTCCATATAGTCCATCATCTTCATCTGCCATTCTTCGAAAGTTGGTAAATCTTGTTTCTTCCAATTCTTCGCTAGTAATATTCTCGCAGCTGCTGTGGCATACAGAAAAAAACTAACACCCTTTTTGGGGATTTCACCCCCCACAATACCAAGTAAAAAGGCTTCTGGTTTCTTAATAAATGTGTTTTTCAACACTTTTTTCAGTTCATTATAAATCCTTTCCCAGAAGTCTTATACCTTGGGGCACATCCACCACATGTGGTAAAAGGTTCCTTCTTTTTCCTTACATTTCTAGCATTTGTTATCATGAGTATGATACATTTTTGCTAACTTCACTGGTGTTAAGTACCATCTGTACATCAAATTTTCTCTTAATACATTACATGCTGTAAATTTAATTCCTTTTTTCCACAATTTCTCCCAATCCACCATCATGATATTGTGCCCCACATCCCTAGCCATTCAATCATTACAGATTTCACTTGTTCATCTTTCGTATGCCATACCAGCAATAAATTATACATCTTGGATAGGTTTTTTGAATTTTTTGAAAAAAACAAGAAAAAAAGTTTATATTGTAAATGTCAGGGCGTGTGCAGAGTCCCCACTCAATACACCAGCGGAATGTGCCAATGGAACAGAAAAGCACCAGATGTTTGGGGAAGGGCCATTCCACAGCTTAGCAGTTACATACAGTTCTGGTATAAAGTCTTTTCTACAGCATGCAGTTTCCTTGCAGAGTTCCAACACAGGCTGCGCCAGAGCTTTCCAAACTGTGTGTCGCAGCACATTCGTTTGTCGGCTGCAGCGTGTAGGTGTGTCGCACAAACGCTCCCCGCGCTCCTCCTGGGGCCGGAAAGGGGCTAGTTTAACCTCTGGTTTGCTAGTAAAACTTGTGGGAATGTTCAGGGAGGCAGGAAAGGATATATTGTTTATTAATATCCTTCCTAACTTGCACTTGCAAGTTCTATAACTTAGCAGAGTTTTAAACACACCGCGGGTAGCTGGTTGCAAGCTTGTTTAAGCTTCTCAATATAGATTCCTGGTAAGATCCCTTATTTCCCTCTTAAAAGAATGAACACACGATAATCTTATTTAAAGTCATAAAAGAAGTTTACTTACATCATCATCAGTTCACAGTTGGATCCCTGAAGGCAGACTTAGTTACAGAGTACATACATATGGTCTATCCCATAGTCTCTTTGTCCTCTGAAAGCCAACAGAGCATCTCTGGCTAAAAAGCTGCTCCAACAAAAAGAGAGGAAGTCAGAAAGGGGGGGGGAGAGGTGCTATGTGCCTTGTCCTTTTGTTACCTGGACAGGTAGGGTCACGCCCACCTCTGGTCACATGCAAGAGGAAGGATGCTCCAGACCAGGAGGAAATAGGAAGTTTTCGACTGGCTGGAACAAACATCCCCTTGCATGTCCACTCTAGGAAAACAAGCAATGTTGTACTTGACTGCTACTTATGTATCACATCCCACAAAACTGAATTGCCATGTCACAAAATGATGCATGTCTAACAGGTGCATCACAAAAGGAAAAGTTTGGAAAGCTCCAGACTAGGCTCTGGCCAAGGGGACAAGAGCAAAGTCGCTTCAGGCACAAGGGTATTTCTGCTTGAGATTGTGCCGAGTCACTCTCACGTGCTTGCTGACTCGCGCTGAGCTAGTTGCAGGTGCAGGAAAAACACACCTAAAATTAACCAGCACATCTAAGTCAACCCTTCCTTGTCGTTTCTCTCTCTCTCTCTCTCTCTCTCTCTCTCTCTCTCTCTCCTTTTATAAATCAATTTTTTTTATTTTCCAATAAGAACATCCAATTAACAAATCCATCAAATCATAATCCGATTAAAAATAATAAAATAAAATAACAGCCAAATTACAATCCAAATTATTAATTATTATTTTTTCCGGGCTTCCCATAGTCTGCACCTCTGAAGTATATCTCCAATATTTCATTTCTGCCTTCTTCTTCTTCTTCTCATGTTTCCCACATTCCGATCTTAACTCTTTAAAGTTCCCCGTCCCTGGCTGTGCGATTCTCTATCATGTCAGAAATCGTATAGCCTTTCATCCATTGGGTACAGCTTTATTTGTGTGTATATATATTTTCAGCACACCTAAGTCAACCCTTCCTTGTCATTTTTCTCTGCATGCATAAATTGTTATACGTTAACAGTAAAGTGTCATGATCTTCGAATGAAAGGCAGTATATAATAATACAGTGGTACCTCACAAGACGAATGCCTCACAAGACAAAAAACTCGCTAGACGAAAGGGGTTTTTTGTTTTTTGAGCTGCTTCGCAAGACGATTTTCCCTATGGGCTTGCTTCGCAAGACGGAAACGTCTTGCAAGTTTGTTTCCTTTTTCTTAACACCGTTAATACAGTTGCGACTTGACTTCGAGGAGCAACTCATAGCACGTGGTGTGGTAGCCTTTTTTGAGGTTTTTGAAGCTTTGGTGATTTTTGAAGCTTTTCCAAAAACTTTCCCAACACCGTGCTTCGCAAGACGAAAAAAATCGCAAGACGACAAAACTCGCGGAACGAATTAATTTCGTCTTGTGAGGCACCACTGTAATCCCAATTTTGCTCTGAATTCTTTTAAAGCTTGGAAGCCACAAAGAGCCACCATTTAGCCAGAGGGTGGTCAGCTCTGCCCCCCTCCCCTCCCTCTGTTTCCAACCACATGCTTATTTCGCCAGAGCACCTCTGTCTCTGACCACGGTTTTTCAATGCAACTCTCTGACCAGGTGGCATCTTCCGTTTCTGATGCTTTCCTGGAACTCGGAGCTTTTAGGACAGGTTGTTTGTTCTGCAGAAGGAAGGGAAGCGTGAAAAATCTGAGCCTTTTGACTTGGCAGGAGCAGCGCCAGCCCTTCTGCTCTCGGAGGCACCCTCAGCGAACCCTGGGAGGGGACGGCACCTTTGTGGGCGCACTTGGAGCAGAACATCTCGACTTCCTACCAAATGCAGCAGGGGGCCACGGAGCAGGGCCAGAAACCCCACCTGAATGAGGTGGCCTGGACTTTCTTGAAATATTCATTGGCTAAAAAACTGCTTTGCAACAGCATCTCATTAGCTCAGCGCAGAGAAGAGGCCAAAAGAGGTAAATGCATTTTGAAGGAAGAAACCAGGTCAGCCGAAAGCGACAAGGGAGAAGGCGCCTGCTTTCTGCACTTCTCCGATGGCAGAGGACATTTTGGAGACACCAGTATTGCTCTGTGACACAGAAGGATTTATAGAATCAGAATTGTAGAGTCGGAAGGGACCCCAAGGTTCATCCAGTCTGACCCCCTGTGTGATGGCCTGGGATTCCGATTCTGAGAGTGAACCGGAGGAATCCCAGCCGGCACAGGAGTCCCCGCCTCCAGGGCCGGCTGAACTGGGGCAAGGCCTAGATGCTGAGGAGCCTGCACCTGTGCCAGTTCCTCAAGAGCAGGCACCAGGTGAAACCATTCTGGCCCCAGAGGTGCTTGAGGACTCAGTGTCTACAGGTGAGCTTCCCCCGGGACCCAGTAACCCTTCGGCCTCTCCTGAACTGCAGAGGCTCAGGGCAGAGAGGCGAAGGGAACTGCTTTCTCCCAGGAGGAGTGCTCGCCTTAAGGCCAGGAGAGGCAGGACCGCCCCTGGCCTTAGAGAAGATAAAGGTCAGTCAGTCCAGTCCCAGGTTGCGGGAGCAACGTCGTTGTGGAGTACCAGCTTTTACCCGGACCTAGACCTGTACTACCAGTGTTCCTGTTCCTCGCGGAGCTTCCTGCTTCTGACCTTCCAGCGTTCCTGTTCCCGCCCGGCTCCCTGTTTCGGACATTCCAGTGTTCCTGTTTCCTGCCCGGCTTCCTGCTTCTGATCTTCGAGTGTTCCTGACCCCGCCCGGCTCCCTGTTTCGGACCTCGCGTCTCAGCTTGTGAGCTTCTACCAGGCTAGTGACTCAGGACTGAACTTTGGCTACGGTAATAGTACCTTCCCCCCCGGGACCAGCACACCCTGCAATGCAGGGATCTCAGCTCAAGCATCCACGACAGGTGGCCATCCAACCTCTGCTTAAAAACCTCCAAGGAAGGAGAGTCCACCACCTTCCGAGGGAGACCGTTCCACTGTCCAACAGCTCTTTCCACCAGAAAGTTCTTCCTGCGTTTGAGCTGGAATCTCCTTTCTTGGAAAGGTCTCTGCCTTCAGAGTCCAGGGTCCAGAGTGATGGCGATCCCAGTTTTACAAATTGTGGAAGAACGAATGCTTCTTGGAACGCATTTGAAATCTAGAGTTTGCCATTGATCTTGGGATGGTGCGGGAATGTATTGGTCGGTTTAAATTGCTGGTGTCTGGATTCACTGGGGTCTGATGGGGCTGAAGGCAGGGAGACTAACAGTAGGTGGCACCAGAGCCACGAGAGGCAGAGCCAACGCAGTCTAGGTTTGTCCCAATCCTCCTCCCTGCTGATCCATTTGCTGCTGTATTATGCAATGCTGCACAGAAGTGTGGGAATGTTCAGGGAGAGGGTATATTGTTTGGTTATAGCCTTTCCAACTTGTGTTAACAAGTTCACAATTTAGCAGAGTAACATTCCCCTTTTAAACTCACAGCGGATGCATTTGCTCAGGCTCACTAAAGCCTCTATAATAACTGTTCTGGTATTTTCCCCTTATTCCCCATAAATAATAAGACACTACAGTCTTCTATAAAAGTATAAAAAAGTTTACTCACATTCTGTTCACAATCGGATCCCAGAAGGCAGACTTAGCTTGGAAAAGTAACATACACCTGGAAACTATCTCATAAGCAGACAGTCCCTCTTGTCCTCTCTGGCTGGAGGCCAAGAGAGCATCTTTGGCTAAGCAGATGTTGCTTCTTCGATGCATGTAGTCAAGAGAGAGAGAGATGGCTGCCCTGCCCTTGTGCTTTTGTCATTACCTGCACAGGTGAGGCCACGCCCACCTCTAGTCACATGCAGAGGAAGTCTGTCCCAGCCCAGAAGGAAACAGGAAGTTTACCTGCTGGCTGGACAAACCTTCCTCCCCATGTGTAAACATGTTCACTCTAGGAATGTTGTATTTGACTGCTCTTGGTTTCACATCCCACAAGAAATGTGTTCCCAGGAAACATTGCGCAGCCCTGAAGCGGATGGCTGTGTTATCAGCTGCAAGCAACACGAAAAGAAGAGGACCTCTGTCTCCTATTGCCAGTGGCTAGGTTGACATGGAGCTGAGACAAGGAGGGGGTTTTCAGAAAGGCTTAGCATGCTCCGCATCTCTCTTTCACACAGCCCCTTTCAACCCTTTGTTACCAAAAGAGCGTTTCCTACAGAGGCTGCCGTTGCTCTTGCACTCCAGCACATTGCATGGTAAACAGAACCGCAGGGAGCCCAGGATACCAGGGGAGGAGAAGGATAGAGCCAGCTCAGAGGACTTTGTGGAGAACAGCTTATCACCAAAGGAAGAGAAGTGTGCTGGTCCGGGGGGGGGTTAACAAGGGCGAAGCGGGGGTCCCAAGCAAGAAGCTGGGCGTGGTCGGGAACTCCGGAAAAACAGGTCTGGGTGCTGGCAGAAACAGGTTTCCAACGTCGTTGCTCCTGCAACCTGGGACTGGGCTGACTGGCCTTTATCTCCTCTGGGGCCTAGGGCAGTCCCGGCCCACAGATGACCCGCCTCTCCTGGCCTTAAGGCAAGCACTCCTCCGAGAGAACTTAGTTCCCTCCGCCTCTCTGCCCTGAGCCTCTGCAGCTCAGGAGAGGCTGGAGGGTTACTGGACCCAGAGGCAGCCTCACCTTCTCCTGACAGAGCTGGGAGACGAGCACCTGCAGGCAATGGGTCCTCAATCACCTCTGGAGCCAGAGTGGATTCATCTGGTGTCTGCTCCTGAGGATCCGGCACAGGTGCAGGCGCTTCAGATTCAAGCCCCTGCCCCGGCTCAGCCGGCCCTGGAGGCGGGGACTCCTGTGCAGGCTGGGATTCCTCCTGTCCAGCCTCTGAATCAGATTCCCAGGCCATCACAAGAAGCAAACCGGAACAAGGAAACTTGCAGCCCATGTTGCCTGGGCTTCCAGCTCGCTCCTAAGCAAGCAAGGGAACCGTTGGAGAACTGGGACCTCTGTCCTACAAGCGTGAGCCTTTTTATTTTCGAGAAAAGGTGAGAAAGAGGCAGAGTTGTGGTCGCCTCACCTCAAAAGGGATATTGCAGAGTTGGAGAAGGTTCAAAAAAGGGCAGCTAGGCTGATTGAGGGGATGGAGCAATTCCCCTACGAAGAGAAGATGAAGTATTTGGGACTTTTAGAAAAAAGGCGAGGAAGAAGGAACATTACAGAAGTTGATTTAACGATGCGCGGCAAGGAGGAAGTGGAGAGAGGGAAGTTTTTCTCCTCACATAACACCGTAACTCATGGGCCTCCAAGGAAGCTGGATGTCGAGAGATGTGGGACAGATAGAAGGAAGGACTTCTTCATGCAGCGCAGGGTTAAACTGAGGAACTCGCTGTCCCAGGAGGCAGGGACAGTCACCAACCTGGAAGGAGTGAAAAGAGGACTGGACAAATTCATGGAGTCGGAGGCAGCAATGCTTCTGAATACCTTGATGGTAAACCAAGCCCTATATCCTAATCCAGGCATAGACAAACTCGACCCTCCGGATATTACAAATCCCATTATCCCTAGCTAACAGGACCAGTGGTCAGGGATGATGGGAATTGTAGTCTCAAAACATCTGGAGGGCCGAGTTTGCCTATGCCTGTCCTAAAGACACCATGGTCTCCACTGACCTTCATTCCAAGGAAGCCCAAAGCACCTGGAACCCCCAGAGTCTCTCACCACTAGGCAATCGGGGAGGCATGTGACAGGACAGTGTGGATGTGACCTAAGGGTCATCCAGTTTTCCCTTTTCCCAGCTCATTTCCCAAGGAAACTGGCTCTTTAGTTCTAAATCGGAACAAACGGCAATGCACGGAAAACCCGATTGCTGTTTGTTCCGACTGAACACTAAAGAGCCGGTTTTCCTCATGGAAAAGCAGCAGGAGAAGAGGACGTGTGGGTAAGCCCTAAGAGGTCTGATCCTGCCTGCCAGACCCGGGGAGCAATGTTGCATTGCCATCTCATCCTCTGCGCTTAAATGGGGATCCACAGCTTGATGACTCCTCAGCCCCCCAAGTCACCTGGGGGAGCTAAATCTCTGCCCCAATCTCTGCCTTGAAGAGCTTCAAGCGGTTTGGTCTGGAGGGTCTCTCTCTTGGAGGCAAATGGAGCAGAGCGGAGTCATCCCAACCCCCTTCAACTAGCAGGCTCCAATCTAAGGCGACGCTGTGCCCCATTGATCTGCCTTAATTGCTCCGAGGAAAGGCTCGATAAAGGCTGTCCCTCCACTTTACCTAAATTATACCAACTGCTGTAATTAGCCAGCAATTGCGAGAGCTCTGCTGTTTATTTAGCCGCACACTGCTCATGACTTGGGAGTGAGCGCTGGGGAAGCAACGAGCCTTAGATTTCTTGGCTTGAGATGGCTTCCAGACTAAGGGTAAGAGGAGCTGGGCTGCCATGGATAGATGCAGGCCTCTGGGTGTTGCCTGTTTTTAGTAGGAGAAGCCATTCCAACTGTTATGTACTGAGCTGAATAGGATCCAAAAATGCAGCAGTCTGATTGGTCCTAGAACAATAGGATCCAGAATGCAGCAGTCTGATTGGTCCACAGGAGCCACCCAGTCCAGCTCCAGGTGGAAGTGAATCCGCAACCTGATTGGCCTACAGGAGAATCCCGGAATTAGCCAATCACGTGGGGCCCATTGTGTAGATAATGTATATAAAGCAGACATTCTGGGGGAACTTCCATTCCTCACTACCTATGAGCTGAATAAAGAGCATGAAATCCACTCTCGACTCCGAGTATATTTCACCAACCCACACCTGTGGGACTGAGCAGCAGCCTTTAAATAGCCTTACGGTCTGCTGCTGAGCTACAACAAAGAGTGGGGAGTTCGAGTTAGGCCCTCCCGTACAATCCAGAGTCCTTTGACAAGGCCAGTGGCACATCCCTCCTGAGACTCTCTCAGGCACCCAAGTAGCAAATGACCGGGACAAATCCACACCATGGGGTGAGCTCCCGTTGCTCTGTCCCAGCTCCTGCCAACCTAGCAGTTTGAAAGCACATCAAAGGGCAAGTAGATAAATAGGTACCACTGTGGCAGGAAGGTAAACGGCATTTCCATGAGCTCTGGTTTCTGTCACAGTATTCCATTGTGCTAGAAGTGGTTTAGTCCTGCTGGCCACATGACCCAGGAAAGCTGTCTATGGACAAACACCAGCTCCCTCAGCCTGAAAGCAAGATGAGCACCGCAACCCCGTAGTCACCTTTGACTGGACTTAACCGCCCAGGGGTCCTTTACCTTTACAGTGGTGCCTCGCAAGACGAAATTAATTTGTTCCGCGAGTTTTGTCGTCTTGCGATTTTTTTCGTCTTGCGAAGCACGGTGTCGGGAAAGTTTTGGAAAAGCTTCAAAAATCACCAGTCTTTAAAAACCTCAAAAAAGGCTACCACACCGCGTTCTATGAGTTGCTCCTCGAAGTCAAGTCGCAACTGTATTAACGGTGTTAAGAAAAAGGAAACAAACTTGCAAGATGTTTCCGTCTTGCAAAGCAAGCCCATAGGGAAAATCGTCTTGCGAAGCAGCTCAAAAAACAAAAAACCCTTTCGTCTTGCGAGTTTTTGTCTTGCGAGGCATTCGTCTTGCAGGGCACCACTGTATCTTTATTAAAGAATTCAGTAATGCACTACAGGACTTAGTCGAAAGAGACTACGAGAGCATTTTCATTAGGAAACACACGATGTAGATTAAAAACAGTCATCTTAGCTGTTTCATCCTCTACTCTCTCATCTTTCACCCAACAAAAATCGGTAAAATACAACTTACTCAACCCATATTTTTTTACTCTTTATGCGGACCATCCTTGTACCTTATACAGAGTTATTTTTCACTTTAACATTCAGCTGTTAATTTCCCCTGTAACTGGTTCTTACTGGTTTTGTGGTCAGGTCACATTTTGGCATTCACGACACTGGCCTCACTTAAAAAGAAAAACCCCACCTCAATATCCAGGCGTCAGAGCAAGGGACCAAGGCTGGATTCCCGTAAAGCAGAAAGAAGGTGAGGCCGATCCTACTTCCGAAGGGCGCTGGGAAAATATTACTCCAAACACATACCTTTTCCCCCCAGCCTAATAGGCATATCAGACTCTCGCACGCTCCCATCAGAGGCAGTAATGAAAAAGAAAATGTCATGAGATTAATCACGGCTCCTGACAAAGAGCATAATAGGAACAGGGGCGTATTGCAGCCCTAAATCACTCTCATTACATTCTTAGCACCCGGTGCCTGTCAGGCCTTGTTAAATGGGTTCCCTGCTGGGATCTGAGGCTGAACGTTGCGGGACCCTCCCCTGGTGGCTTCCTCCCCTGTTCCAGTCGGAGGCCACCAAGAGCTTCAGAGCCCTGAGTCACAAAGAAAAGGCCCTTGAGTTGGGCAGCTTCAGGCGAACACACCTGGAATATGAGGAAGCAGAATGGGATGCATGAACAACTGTGGTGAAGGGTCCCCTCTACGTGGGGCTACCTTCGAAGGTGACCCGGAAACTGCAATTAATCCAGAATGCGGCAGCTAGACTGGTGACTGGGAGTGGCCGCCGGGACCACATAACACCGGTTCTGAGAGATCTTCATTGGCTCCCAGTACGTTTCCGAGCACAATTCAAAGTGTTG